ACGAGTCAGACAAGAAACGAAGACGACTGTGGGTCAACTTTATCCGCACGAAGCGTGCAAAATGGTCACCGACTGCAAACTCTCGACTTTGTTCAGAGCATTTTCGGGCCGAGGACTTTGAAAGCCGTTTTATATCTATTCCTGGGACGCCGTTTGTACCCAGTACTGTCTTAAAAGAAGACGCTGTTCCATCCATCCACAAGAAACAAGACGAAGAAYCAAGCGAACAAGTCAACAATGCTTCTAGCTCCAYGAGAGGGCATCGCCGGGTAAGTATGTCATGTTCTTTTTTGCTTAACTTGATCTGTTTTCAGCTCACAATTTTGTCTTTATTGTCCATGTAGATCGTAAGGGAATTGCTGAAGGAAACAATTTATCAAAATAACCATGTGCCGGGTACTGAGCAAGACCCACAAGATCCTGAACAAACGACGACGCCAGAAGACAATACGACAACATGTTGCTCTAGTAACAGTGAACCAGCCGACTTCTCTACTCCTGTTGAACAGCCTGTAAGTCGTTTGTTGCAGATAAAGTATTAGTTCTCAGGATCAAAACTTGTTTACCGATCCTAAAAACATAATTTTTCTTCCTTTGTAGTTTCATGATGCTTCCTGTCAAACACCAGAGTGTTTGGGCTGCAAGAAATTGTCCAGTCATAATCGGCAGCTCCGAAACAAGATCATCGACCTAAAAAAGAAAATAGAAGAACAGCAAACTAAAATTCGGGAGCTAAAAGGTTTGAAACTTAAGTCCATAGTATTATTATTTTGTTTCGGTATTGAAGCAAGGTTTTATTCACATACACAGTACCTGTAACTGAAAGTTCTGGCATGACAGCCACTTYAGAGAACGTGACCACYGAGGAACCTGTTCATGATGAAATCGTAGCTGTGGAGAGCGAGGGCGAGGACGAAGATATGATTATCGAAGAAGAACCACAGATTTCTTCTCCAGAGTATAAATTGTTCTCGGAAACCGAAACTGAAACGGAGACAGATATGACGGATGCAGAAACGACTCAAGATGATGAAAAACCACAAGTCATAAAGTAAGTTAGGTTCACCAACGAGAAAATAGAAAAGAGCAAAAAGAAAATAGCTATTTGTTAATATATGTCTAATATGYGTTCTTAGGTGTAACACTCTACACAATCTGTTTCCAGAAAAGGATTTGTGCCCTTCRTAATAACTATTTCGAGAGCAATAATAAACTCTTGAATGAATGTATTTGTAAGGCCTGGCCAACATATATTCATTTTGTATTCCCTTATGTTATAGGACCAAGGACTCTGACAATTTGAGATCCCAGCCAAAGTTTATAGTGTTCCTGTCTAGGCTGCTCCTGCTGTTCAATATATGTCCTGCATGCAAGACTGAGAAGCCCTTTGTAGAGTCCACTGCCCTTGGAACAATGGTCCAGATTACCACCATATGTGTCAACCCCCATTGTCCATCACCAAGGAATACCTGGGAAAGCCAGCCTAACATGACAGCAACCAAGATGCCAGCCATGAATTTCTTGCTTTGCTTTTCGATCTTGGTTTCAGGGGCCTCTCCATCAAAAGTCATTCAAGTCTTCAAGAACATGGGCCTGGCTTGCATTACCCTAAAGACTTACTTCAAGCACCAAGCTGTGAGTACATGTGCATGTGACTGTATTTTGTCTGTGTAATGCCTTTCTATGTGCATATAAGAAAATAATGCTAATGCTAATAATAACATAAATGCTAGCTTCTAACAGCTGCTACTAATTATTACTACTGCTGCTACTACTAACTAGTTATGCTCACAAATGTAATTACATAATAAAAATAACCAATTTGAAAGCTTCTTTCACTTTTTTTGACAGACGAAATTGTTTCCCACAATCCATTTATACTGGAAAAAATATCAGCAAGACATGTTCGCCAAGCTGAAAGAAACAGGGCAGCCATTGGTTATTGCTGGAGATGGGCGCCACGATAGTATGAGCCATAGTGCCAAGTACTGTRCATATACCATTTTCTGTTGTACTGTTCCCCTTATCTTTGACTTCTCATTAACTCAGGTACAAAATGATTATGCATAAAAACAATAATAATTTGCAAACATTCCAGGAATTTAGTTATTCACYTGCATTCATGTTTTTTCGTAAGTGGAACAAGGGACTGCCCACACACAGGGGTGGGGAGGGCTCTAAACAGAGGTATACTTGCAACAACAAACCTTGGTAATGTTGGCTAACAAATTCAGGGACTTCTTTTGTCTTAAGGTGGATGGTTCTTCTTTTTTTCCTTGATAATTTGTCTGTTCTTTACACTTTTTTTGTTTTTATATTAGAGAAATGTTGCWGGTAACAGCCAAGCAATGGAGCCCCTTGCATTTAGAAAATGCATGGAAAGCCTTGTGGCATCTGGACTTGCTTTCGACTCCCTTATCACAGATCGCCATACGTCCATTSCAAAATTCATGAGGGAAAATTTTAAGAACATCAAACACTACTTTGATCTGTGGCATCTGCAAAAGAGTTGAGTATTTGGAATCATATTAAAAGGAATATTGCTTAATGTTTGCCAGCATGTCAAAGCAGAGTTCAAAACAAAGTTATGAGAAAGGATTTACAGTTATTATGCATCTATTATGCAATTTTATCTTGTTCCAAATATCATAAAACTTATTGCTATTTTTATTTTCTTTAGAGGTACACAAAGTCCTAACTAAGATCAGCAAGGAGAAAGATGGGGAATGTCTGTCCGACTGGATCAAGCCTTGCGAAAATCACCTGCTGTGGAGTGCCACGTCCACGCCATCTGGAGATGGGGAATTGATATGGGCCAAATTTGTTTCATTTTTGTCCCATATCATCMACAAGCATTCTGACCTAGAAAATGACAAATTTAATGAGTGTGCACATGAGGAGCTAATAGGGGATAGAAGATGGCTTGAAGAAGGTATGTATGTCATTGCTAATTAAAGCAAAACCAGGGTTATTCATGGTGAGTTCAAAGARAATGCTTTCTCCCTTTAACCCAATAAAACTTTTGCCCATATCATGTCACTACTCCATTTTCATAGGTCTTTGAATGAAGTTCAAAAGGACCTCAATCTTTTAATCTTATTTTTGCTGATGCAATGTCTTTTTCTGTAGATACACCAGTTTACGACAAAGTGTGTTCTGTCTTAACAAAACCCTCATTGATGAAGGGCATCAAGAAGGCATCACCATTGGCCCAGACAAGTTGTTTAGAGGGTTTTCACTCTGTTGTAAACCAGTATGCACCAAAAATGACAGCCTACTCTTATCAAGGGATGTACTGCAGGTAAATCATCAATGAATTATACATTTCTAAGTAAGGTACTCTGGGTACTTTGTGTGCACTTTGAGTTAATGATCATGGACATAATGAATATAAATATGTCTGTACAATGAATAGTGCAAATAAAGTCAAGCTCGCAATTATAATGTAAGGCACAAAAGTGTGACTGGTGACAGTGTATTTGCATGCTTTCATCTGGGTGAATATCAAATCAACATCAGAAGAACAATAAAACCATGCTAATACAACAGTGGTCACACTTTAGAGCCTAGCACTTGTAAAAGCAGTCAATACAAAGTACATTAAAGTTAATTTTTTTAAATCTTGAAATTGTTTTTTTCCAGGCACATAATTGCAGCTGTCCATTTTAACTACAACCTTCAACGTGATGTCCGACACAGCGAAGATGGGACAGAACAAGTTAGGATAGTTTATCCCAAATTCAAAAACGGCGAAGCAACTGTTCGCAGTGTTAGAGTAAAGCCAAATCATGGTATAAAAACGGTATACCTACTAGCTCTAAAATATTTGACCTTAACTTACATGTATTTCTTATCTTTGTTTTGTTAACAGATTACATTGAAGACATTTACACAACTTTTATTGAGGCCAA